TTAGTGTTAAGTGGGGGGGGGGCAAGAGTAGAGTCAGTGGTCACTGCCTAACCTCTCATCTTCACTCATCTCATAAACTATCTAGTTAATAATTGTGTACTAATTATCATTGAGTTGCACTTGATTTGTCTGCATGTGTGTAGATACGCAGGATCATTGCTGTCCACTGGACTGGACTCCTTTCTCTTCCCACTGTTATTATTTTTCTGATTATGGGATGTCATGGCACCAAGCTCGAGACAAGTGTGAGAGCATGAAAGCAGAACTTCTGATCCTGAAGAGCAAAGAGGAAAAGGTCAGCACTCTTCATGAAAAACCCACCAGTAACCTTGAATCTTCCTGGATGGATGGAAACAGTCCATCCATCAGAGTTTACCCTCTGAAACAACACAGCTACTTCTAGCAACAGCAGAAGTGCAGGAGTGACGAGGAGAAGCTATAGTCAGGATTTTATGATCAGGAATTTAAGGTCAGGAATTTAGCTGTGGTCAGAAATTTATGGTCAGGAATTTAACTATGATCAGAATTTTATGGTCAGGAATTTACGCATGGCCAGAAATGTATAATCAGGAATTTAGTGCTGGTCAAGAATTCAAGATTCATTTAGCTATGGTTAGAAACTTATGGTCTGAATTTAAAGGCCAGGAATTTAGACATGGTCTGGAATTTAAGGTCAGAAATGAATATGTGCTCTTTAATTCAGCTGTGGTCAGAAATTTAGCAGTGGTTATGAATTTAGTGTATTTAAGAATACATTTTAAATGTTTTAAAATTTTAAATGTTTTGGTATAGCAGTAAATGACTGTGATGTTGAATGTATTGTTGTTGATTGATGGTCATGTGACTGAGGTTTCAGATGGAAGTGTGTGTGTGTGTGTGTGTGTGTGTGTGTAGGAGTTTGTGATCCAGAGAACAAAGCCCCATTATTATTGGCTGGGTCTGAGTGATGAGAGAACCGGAGAGTGGGAGTGGCTGGATGGAACACCCTTTGTGATAATCAGGAGGTGAGAATTTAATAAAGCTGTTCTTTTATTAATTTCTGATTAAAGAAAGATTTAACGTAATATAATGATTTTAGTACAGTATTTAATAATGACTTTGAATGTAAATATAAAGCTGGTGCAGGAAGAGGCGGGGCTTATGCTATGGACACTAACTCCAATGGCTGTTCTTTTTATCTGAAGAGATTGTAAATTGTATAGGTTGCGATGTTTGGGTTTATTTGTTGGAGGGCGGCACAACAGCAGCTGAAACAGTTCTAACTGAGAATTTTTATTAATCTGAGACAAATCAACTTGTGTAGAACGTGATTAGAATTCTGTAGAAACAAGAACATTTTAACACAGAAAATAACACACATCAAAATCAAATCTCAATATTACTTTGAACCTGTAAATATGTAAATTGTTACACTCCCAGTGCACATGCATATAAACTGTGCGCATTAGTATATTAAAGTCCCTCTCAGAGCAGATGTTATATGCTGTATTCAGTAGTACAACAGTGTCATGTAAACAATCAAGTTCATTTGGTAACACTTTACTGTTTATAAACATTTATGTAGGGTTATGTCAGTTGTCATGACAAGCTTATGTAGGTGGCAGGTAGCATTAAGAACAGTACCCTACAGTAGTGTTGCTGTTAACTGTCATAACAGATGAAATCATGTTTGAAGTTATGACAGTTACTGATGAAAAAATAAAAAAATTGCATGTGACAGAAGCCGTCTTTACATCAAACATGACATCTGTTATGACAATAACTGGTAATGGTAAAATGACGCTGTTATATTACTGAACAAATTCTGTGATGACACCTGCCATGACATGCTTATTGCCCCTGTTATGTCAATGTTATTGCTGTGCAGAAAGCCTCACTGCCCACCCCCCCACACCATCACCACCACTCCCACTTCTGATGATATCAGTGCCTTTAATTAAACTATTCAACAACGTTCCTAATTATTGAGCTCAGATGTTTCACCCTAACAGTTATATAAAACCAAGCACACAGCCATGCTGTCTCCACTGACAGTAGAATGGGTCACACTGAAGAGCTCAGTGACTTTAAACATGGCACTGTCATAGGATTCCTTTTGCCACATGTTTGTGAAATTTCTGTCCTGCTAGATCTGCCTGTCAACTGTAAGTGCTATTATTGGAAAGCATATAGGAGCAACAACAGATCAGCCATGAAGCCGTAGTCCATGTAAACTCACGTTGGGCCGAAATGTGATGAAGCGCACAGTGCATATCCTCTGTTGAGTCACTCACTACCGTGTTACAAATCGCCTCTGGAAGTATCAGCAAAAGGACTGTTCATCAGTGTTAGTCGCTCTGGTCCTGCTGGTAATGGTCTCTGATGGTGGGGAGCTGCGCACCAATGATGCACTGAGCCATCTTCACCACTCTGTACACCACTTCCTGTTGGCCACAGTGGAGCTGCTGTACATGCTGAAGTTTCAAGACAGATCCTCAGAGATATGGATGCATATGAACTTAAAGCTGGTGACATGCTCTACCTCAGTTTTTCTTGTAGACACAGTTCAGACCCAGATTTCTGTGAAGCTGCTTTGTGACACTGTAAAAATGGTTTATAAATAAATCTTGGATTGAATTGAATGTTGTTCAAGGACAGTGTCACCGAAAAATGTATCAGATCAAACTGAATTTTAAATTTTACAACCTTCCTGATCTGTATATGTGTGTGTGTGTGTGTGTGTGCACGCAGTGAGTGGATGCCTGGTCAGCCTGATGATTGGACGGCTCATGGTCTGGGAGGAGGAGAAGACTGTGCTCATTTCCACAGAGATGGACGATATAATGATGATCACTGCTCTCGAGATTACAGATTCGTCTGTAAAGCACACACACTCACCGTTCACTAACACACACGCTCACACACTCACCGTACAAACACACACGCTCACACACTCACCGTACAAACACACACGCTCCCACACTCACCATTCACTAACAAACACGCTCACACACTCACCGTACACTAACACACACGCTCACACACTCACCGTACACTAACACACGCTCACACACTCACCGTTCACTAACACACACGCTCACACACTCACCGTTCACTAACACACACGCTCACACACTCACCGTACACTAACAAACACGCTCACACACTCACCGTTCACTAACACACGCTCACACACTCACCGTTCACTAACACACACGCTCACACACTCACCGTTCACTAACACACACGCTCACACACTCACCGTTCACTAACAAACATGCTCACACACTCACCGTTCACTAACAAACATGCTCACACACTCACCGTTCACTAACACACACGCTCACACACTCACCGTTCACTAACACACACGCTCACACACTCACCGTTCACTAACACACACGTTCACACACTCACCGTTCACTAACACGCACGCTCACACACTCACCGTTCACTAACACGCACGCTCACACACTCACCGTTCACTAACACACACGCTCACACACTCACCGTTCACTAACACACACACTCACACACTCACCATTCACTAACAAACACGCTCACACACTCACTGTTCACTAACACACATGCTCACACACTCACTGTTCACTAACACACATGCTCACACACTCACTGTTCACTAACACACGCTCACACACTCACTGTTCACTAACACATGCTCACACACTCACCGTTCACTAACATACACGCTCACACACTCACCGTACACTAACACACGCTCACACACTCACCGTTCACTATCACACACGCTCACACACTCACCGTTCACTAACAAACACGCTCACACACTCACCGCACACTAACAAACACACTCACACTCACCGTACACTAACACATGCTCACACACTCACCGTTCACTAACACACACGCTCACACACTCACCGTACACTAACAAACATGCTCGCACACTCACCGTTCACTATCACACACGCTCACACACTCACCGTTCACTAACAAACACGCTCACACACTCACCGCACACTAACAAACACACTCACACTCACCGTACACTAACACATGCTCACACACTCACCGTTCACTAACACACACGCTCACACACTCACCGTACACTAACAAACACGCTCACACACTCACCGTACACTAACACACGCTCACACACTCACCGTTCACTAACACACACGCTCACACACTCACCGTTCACTAACACACACGCTCGCACACTCACCGTTCACTAACAAACATGCTCGCACACTCACCGTTCACTAACACACACGCTCACACACTCACCGTTCACTAACAAACACGCTCACACACTCACCGTACACTAACACACACGCTCACACACTCACCGTTCACTAACACACACGTTCACACACTCACCGTTCACTAACACGCACGCTCACACACTCACCGTTCACTAACACACACGCTCACACACTCACCGTTCACTAACACGCACGCTCACACACTCACCGTTCACTAACACACACGCTCACACACTCACCGTTCACTAACACACACGCTCACACACTCACTGTTCACTAACACACACGCTCACACACTCACTGTTCACTAACACACATGCTCACACACTCACTGTTCACTAACACATGCTCACACACTCACTGTTCACTAACATACACGCTCACACACTCACCGTACACTAACACACGCTCACACACTCACCGTTCACTAACACACACGCTCACACACTCACCGTTCACTAACAAACACGCTCACACACTCACCGTACACTAACAAACACGCTCACACACTCACCGTACACTAACAAACACACTCACACTCACCGTACACTAACACATGCTCACACACTCACCGTTCACTAACACACACGCTCACACACTCACCGTACACTAACAAACACGCTCACACACTCACCGTACACTAACACACGCTCACACACTCACCGTTCACTAACACACACGCTCACACACTCACCGTTCACTAACACACACGCTCACACACTCACTGTTCACTAACAAATACGCTCACACACTCACTGTTCACTAACACACACTCACCGTACACTAACATACGCTCACACACTCACTGTTCACTAACACACACGCTCACACACTCACCGTACACTAACACACACGCTCACACACTCACCGTTCACTAACACACATGCTCACACACTCACCGTTCACTAACACACATGCTCACACACTCACCGTACACTAACACACACGCTCCCACACTCATTGTTCACTAACACACACGCTCCCACACTTACCATTCACTAACACACATGCTCAAACACTCACCGTACACTAACACACACGCTCACACACTCACCATACACTAACACACACACACTCACACACTCACCATTCACTAACACACACACTCACCATACACTAACACACACGCTCACACACTCACTATTCACTAACACACACACTCACCATACACTAACACACACGCTCACACAACAAGTTATTCATTTTTAAGCCCATACAGCCTACAGCAGTTTAGCCTCACCCATTCAGCCTACAGCCGTTTAGCCCCACCCATTCAGCCTACAGCAGTTTAGCTCCACCCATTCAGCCTGCAGCAGGTTTTTGGTGCATGAACCCGCACAATGTTTGTAAGTAGAGCTCAGAGGAAAATAAAACAGAATGTATATGTGTAGTCTATGGGTCCTTTACACTGCAAAAAATGATTTCTTAGCAAGTGTTATCATCTAAATAACAAGTATTTCTCAATTTAAGATGGTTGTAGAAATATTATTTATTTTATTATTATATATAATATTATTACATTTTGTAACTTATTTCTACATATTTTGACTATATTGGTGTATAATGTTGCTTGTTTCAAGTATGTTTCTTAAACCAAGCAAATTGATCTGTCAGTAGATATTTAGACAAAATCTAAGATGATTTCACTTGAGAAATTTCATTTTCAGCAGTGTAAGATGAATAATTAGCTAATTTGTCTGAATAAGATAGTTCTGGACAACATTTCTAAAATGTAGTTTGTTGATCTATAAATAAAAAATTAAGATATGTTGTTGATTTGAATTGTTTTCTGTTTTTTTAAGAGTTCAGTGATTTGAATTGTTTTCTGTTTTTTTAAGAGTTCAGAGAAAGCAGGTCTGCTTTCTCAGCTCTGCTCTACACTCATTAATATGCTGTTCACTCTCTGTGATTGTAAGGGAAACAAAACCTCTGTTATACAGCTCCAGTCAGCTGACCGAGCGCTTTCGGCGGTCAGTCTGGGGTGAAGAGATTCGCAGGTTTGCAGTCACACACCGAGTGTGTTTAGGAGTGTATGGAGATGCTAGACTGTGAGGGAGTGTGTGATCCTGTTTGTGTGAATGTGGGGGGAGAGCTTTACACCACCACACTGGACACGCTCACGCGCTGCCGGGACTCCATGCTAGGTGCCATGTTCACCGGTCAGATCCCGCTGCTCCGGGACCGGAATGGAAACTTCTTCATTGACCGCGATGGGAAACCCTTCCGATACATCCTCAACTTCCTGCGCTGCAACAGTCTGGACCTGCCACGGGACTTCACTGAGCTTACATTGCTGCGCCGTGAGGCCGACTTCTTCCAGATCCGCCCACTGCTAGAGGAGCTGGAGCGCAGGGAGGCGCAGCCTCGTGGTGGGTGTGGCTCAGGAGGGGCACTGTTGTGTGCAGAGGTGGACAGCCAGGAGCGAGTCCTACACTTCAATTACAAACGCAAACCTGAAAACTACGAGCTGCGCTCCTGCATCGTCCGCGTCCACACCGCTCACATCTTCTGCACCTCACATCCGCTCATTGAGCTACTGAGCTCCAGCTTCTCCTATCGCACAGGTGCTGTTTCTATGGCACCGGAGCCAGGGCGGATGGACCTGCAGCTGGAGTGGGTTCCATGTCCATCAGAGTTACCGTTGGAACAGCACATCAGGCACGGCTTCCGGGAGCTAAGCACCACTCAGCAGTCTGAAAACAGCATCTACACCCAGGGCAATAGCAATGTCTCAACCCATGGCAATGGCGGTGTCTCCATCTCTGACACTCCAAGCTTCATGGCTGAGCTGCTGAGGGTGGTGATGGCTGAAGGGTTCCGTATTGACCTGGTGTCTCCTGATCCAAGTGACGTCCTGAACTGTCGCAGGCTACGCTGTGTACGTTACTGAACCTGCAGAAACTTCACTCTCTAATCCACCAGCATGCACTGATCTAACCTGCTAAACTGAAGCAACTTTATCTAATTGAATCTTAACAGTGACCTAATCACTACAGCTTCACCAGAGGAACCTGGACATAACTGGACATGACTTGTGTGTGTTTAGAATTTAAATACTTTCAACAATGTGATTGTGATTTCCAGCACTTACAGGTTTAACAACTTTGCTTTTGTACTTCCTTAGGATTTACACAACATTTTAGAAATGGCAAATATATAATAATAATAATAGTAATAATAATAATAATAATAATAATAATAATAATAATAATATATCATCTTCCAAAGTGAATAAGTAATAAATGTATTTTTTAAAAATAGATAATAATTATGTACCACCTCCTAGTTACACTGCTAGATAAATTGCATAAATATTAAACAAACTTAAGTGTTTACCATTTTTTGCAATGGCTTCTGAATTTGACATACTGTTATAATCCAGACTTTCACCCTAGACTGACCCCAGACTGACCTCAGAGTAACCGTGTCTGTCTAGTCTGTAGAGTATTAATGTGTTTACAACATACAGACATACAGGAGATGTTAAAGTATTGTGATAAATTACAACACCACAAACTAAACCAGGTGGGTCTTATTAAAAATTGTGAATCTTCTATAATCACCTGGATGTCTGCATAAGCCTCATAATTAAGACAGTCTTACTGAATAAACAACAAACAAAACATTTTACAGTTGCAGATCTTTATTTGGCAAATGGTTTCCGTAAACTAAGAGCTTTACCAAGATGAATAGATTTACTGTCTCTCAACAATTTACACCAGCATAAAAGTGAAGTGAAACAGTATAGTGTAAACAGGCCCACACTGACCCCAGACTGAGCACAGCTGACCTGAGCTGACCCCAGCAGGCCCTGGAAGACCCCAGCTGACCTAGAGCCACTTCTATCCAGCTTCACGGTTCAACACCAACGTAAACACAGTTCATCTTTCATTGCATCTTATTTGGTACAACAAATAGCTTTTTTAACTTGCAGGATGAAGCCCCCCATGTTAATATGCCCCTTCCTCATTTTCTCTCTTCATGAAATGATGGGTCCGATGGGTCCAAATCCCTATTCCTGAGTTTTACTGACCCAGAAAGTTTCTGACATTCTGACAACCTTTTTTTAGATCAATTGATCTATTTTTGACCTATTTTTTCACATATAAATAGTCATTTATGCCTTTATACAAAGTTGTTAAAATGTATTTGCGGGAGATGAGGGTGGGGATGTGGAGAGAGTTGTACATTTAATTTTGAGAGAAAAAATATGTTTGACCTTTGGGGTAGGAAGTCCCATCAGACACAAGACAAAAGCCCCCTTTAGCACACTGACCAAGAAATGTATCCAGTTAGATTTTGTAATAATAATAATAATAATAATAATAATAATATTAACGAATTTACACAATATCAATACATAATATAATCAAAATAACTATTTATTTAATTAACAGAACTTTGACTTTTCCAGTGTTTCTATTTTACTATAGTTTGTCTTTAAATTAAATCATTATTAGACATTTTAATTTGATAAATTTACAGTTTCTTTTTAAAATATAATGTTTTTAGTTTTGTTCCTAAACAACACAACTTCTGAAAAATGCCAAAGTAGGAATGATTTGACAAATGAATTACACATTCTGTCATATTTAATAAATATACATATACAGTCTGTAAAAATGAGTTGACAAACTGATGCAAGAATCACCCGGGGGGCATTTTACCCCAGGTAGAGGGGCATCTTGTCCCAGTAGTGCAGCATGATGCTCCTTTTGAGATGTTCTTTGGTGTGTTATATAAACAGAACTGACTGCTGTTACAGTTTATTTAGTTATATTGTGAATTATCATCCTGTACGTAATAACCTAAATTCTAAAACCTATAATTTAGGTTTATAGTGTTCTTAAGGGGGTCCTCCATTCTCCCTTACTTCAGATTAAATCAAACAAGGGAGTGTAATAGAGCCACAAGGTTAGAAGAAAAGAGCGGTGCGTACTGCATTCAGCTGACAGATTAAAATGGTGTTCATGCATTCAATCCAAATTTCAACAAAAACAGAGTGCACAGCTTTTACTGATAGAAAATGTTTATGAACATTTAGGACACAATGACTTAAGGAGTATGAGAGGGGCCAGATGCTCAAATACATGGGTTTGACCTGCTGTATAAAAATTACACAATGTTCTTACTTATTATCCAAGTACAGTATGACCCAGTGGCCTTCAAACACAGTGTTCGTAGAGTGAAAGTTGTTGAAATGGGAAAAACTTACAAAACAATTTCTAAAATTTGGACCTCCATCAGTATGTCTGTCTTCATAGTAGTTTGTATTTAGGCCTATTGTTTATAATCTTTCCACTTCAGACATCCATCAAAGATCAGTGCAAGACTCACTGTTAGATCCTCAAACAAAGAACTCTACTGAGTAGAGTAGACATCTGCAAGCATCTCTTGCTCTCCGTACTTTCCACACCATAAGAAAAACACTGACCTATAAGAGTGTTAATGGGAGGTTTCTGTGGAGGAAACCACTGTTATTCAGAAAACACTGTTGCATCTCAAGTTTGATAAATAGTATGTGAAAATCAATTTGAATAAGACAGAAAATCAACTCTTTTGTAAATATACACCAGCGGTTCTCAAACTGGTCCCCAGGTACCTCCACACAGTCTAGATTTTTGTTCTAACATAACTTGCAACACATAAAGAGGAAGCAAAAATGCAGATCATCTGGGAATCCCAGAGGACCACAGGTTTGAGAACCAATGAATATACACAATATATACATTGTGGAAAATAAAACAATGCAAACAGCAATCCAGCACCAAAACATTATTCAAGTTGTGAAGCATGGTGGAGTGTGTCCAGTGGTGTAATGCTGCTCTTTTGTCTCAGGGCCGTGGCAGGTTGTAGTCACCGAGAGGCCAGTGAAGTTTTACCAGGAATCAGGCTACTACCACTAACAGCACTCTTCACCTCCATGTTAATGTTAGCCTGCTGAGCACTGTTATCTATGTGGTCTTGAGGATGTTGTTAACTTATCGCCGGTATGCTCTGTGTTCTCTTGTTTTATGACTTATTGCTTCCACTTGTTTTACTATGCCTTTACATTTTTTGTCAGCAGTTAACAAGTGCCTAGTTTGACTTGATGTTATAATTATCTTTAACCTGACTACCATGAGCATAATTTTGTTTTGAAAAAAATCTTGTTTGGTGGGGACAATGATGAGGGCTTGGCAGAAGATGAATGTTGCATGATCAGTGAGAATCAGGTTCCTAGTGGTGACCCTGCTATATGTGTCAGTTTTGTCACGTCAATTTAACAATCTGTAACCACCAGAGATCTATTTCTGCAGGGTCATAGAGACATTAGAAAGATTTTCTGCTGACAACTCTATCAAGGACAGTGTGTGTCAAGTCTCAGTGTCAGACAAAACTGGACATTTCAATAAGTGGTGGGAACATGTCTCCAACATGCTTAGCATAAATCATGCCTATGCTGCCTAATGCCATAATTTACCAAGCACTGTTTTGTGTAGTGTTACTGAATTTAATTACAATACAGCTATGTATGAGGCCTGTATGACCTGAGAAGCTATTTGGTAATAATTATTCAGATGGGCCCACTTAGTGGCTTGGGCATCTGGACAGGCACCCATCAAACTCATGGAATAATCCTAGCCTGACCTGTATAAGCTCTCCCTTATCTCCAGGCAGGTCTGTGGGGCTTGTCCTGAGAGTCTCGGGAAAAGGCTGATTTATCAAAGGGACTAGCAGTGTTCTTTTTGACGTGGCCAGCAGAAGGTGTCAGCCGAACACTTTTGGCTCTAGTGGGCATGCTTGGTAGGATCACTTTACTTGGTGAGGTCACTCCACTTTGTGCCAGTCTGAGGGACGTTGCACGATTCAGTGAAGGTCCTTTTGATGTGGTTGCTAAGGTGCCATGCTTGACAGGTAGGTTGCCAGGGGTGACAGCAGCGCTGCGTGTTGCGGAGGCCACAGTGCCCTGAGCGAAGTGGGGGGCATGGCTGTGGGTGGAGTTTTGTTGGGTGGGTGGAGCTACATTGCCCCCAGCCTGAGCGAGAGCGCGCAGTGTGGAGCGACACATCTTCTCCTCCGGTGGAGATTTCTGCTGAACCATGGCCTTCTTCACAGATGACCTTTGCATGGATGCCTTTTTCATGGATGACTTCTGCATGGATGACCTCTGCTCAGATGACTTTACAGATGGCCTCTGCTCAGATGACTTTACAGATGATCTCTGCTCAGATGACTTTACAGATGAGCTTTGCTCAGATGATGTCACAAATGATCTCTGCTCAGATGACTTCAGGGATGACCTCTGCATAGATGACCTGTGCTCAGATGACCTCCGCAGGGATGTCCTTTGAGCTGGTGGGGTGTTGGAGGGGATATGGACTGCCGAGGCTCTAGAGACCTGTGGGTTTCGGCTGAGAGGAATGACCTTCCTCATGCTCTGAGTCTCAGAAGGGTTGAGAGTCCGCACAGGATGAAGAGGACGGGTCTTAGTGGATGATGAAGGTTTAGAAGAAGAAGATTTTGGTAGGACTACAGCTGGTTTGGGGGTGGACATTGTTTTAGGTGCTCTTCCGGATGTTTTGCTAGGTAACCTTCTATCTTCTGGACTTGCAGACTGTCTCAAAGGTTTCTCTTCTCCTTCAGTGCTGGTGGTGATGTAAGATCCAGGTGCCTCATTGCTAGATTCTAATGATAACTGATGTGTGGGTTTAGGTTCTGACGTGTGATTGGTGGACTCTATGGAATCCCTCATTGAATTTAATGCTGATTGGTCAGTGAGGAATTCAGTAGGTGAGGCAGGGGGAGAGTTGCTGCATGCCAAGGTGTGTTCTTCCTCATCTGGCTTCTCTGATTGTTTGGGGCTGACATTCATCTCTGACCCATCTGTAGTTGCTGTGGGTTTTTCAACAGGGTTCTGGGGTTCCTCACAGCCTCCCCTGCTCTCAATTTCAGGATTCACCTCATTCTCTGTCACATTAAGGTTAGCCTGGTTGGGTTCCTGGAGGTCATATTCTAGAGTGGGGGTGTTGCCATGGTGACGATCAGGTAAGGGATCAAAGTTGAAGGCTTGCAGAGCCGGCACCAGCGTGTGTGTTTCCACTTGAATAGTCATCTCTGGCGAACGTGCGACAGTTTGTGTGTCTGACTCAGTATGGTCAGTGTTGCCATCGCTGAGCTGTTGCCGTGAGCGACGGAGGCTCCCAAGCTGCCCCAGAGGACTCTGGGGGCTGATGGGGTGGGGCCTGAGAAGACCTAAAAGCCCTTCTCTCTTCAGAGCTGCCTGCACGTCAGTCTCACTCCTGCACCGAGAGCCAAACACTCCACCCAGTTTATCAAGTCCTGCCCATGAACCGCGCTTCACCTCCAGATCCTTTAAACGCTTCAGTCGAGACTCCGCCCTCATTTCTCGCTCCACATTGTCCTAGAAAGAAGATGTTGTGGTTAAGGTTTTAGTGTTATGGATTAAACAAGGATGTTGGATTTGGCCTGCCAGAAAGTTACTCTAACTCCACCCCAAACATATTTGTATGCTGTTTGTAGTTTAGAACAAACATACTTCTTAAGATAGATAATTATTCTTTTCTTTTCCTTTTAAATATTTTTAAACAACATTTTTGAAACCTAACTTTATTTCTACATTGTTTTGTGTTTTTGGTCTTTGGCCCACCACAAACAGTGACCCACCAAGACAATTTTTATGGGTAGTGGATAGTGGTTAGGAATTAGGGAACAGGGATTAGGGGTTAGGGGTTAGTGATTGTGAAAAGGGATTAGGAGTTAGGTGAACGGGGATAGGGGTTAGGAATTAGGGCATAAGGAATAGGGGTTAGGGGATGGGGGTTTAAGAATTAGGGAACAAGGGTTAAGAATTAGGAGTTGGGGTTAGGGCATGGGGGATAAGAATTAGGGAATAGATATTGTACAATATGAGTTAGTTGTGGGTTTTTTTTTTTCAGAGCTAAGCATCACCTTTAGCTAAAACTGAATTTAGTGGCATCTTAAAACAGTTGAAACACCTACACAAATTAATCTGCACTCAATTCCGTTACGATTTTTTACTAAATTAAAGTTTTTATTTGTACTAAAATGCAAACTAACTTACAAGTGAAAATTAGTTTGATTTAGAGATGGGCAGTGATGTTTTCTGCAGTCATTCTCTTCAAAATTCACTTCTGTCTGTTTTTTTTTTTTTAATTATGTTTTTTTTATTTTTTTAAATTATGTTTAATTATGTGAACAACAGCAATGGATGTGACCCTTAGCCATTAGTGCTACCTGAGGTCAGCTGCAGGGTCAAAGGATTTAATGATTCCTCCTCCACTTTTGTTTATGGCAATACATCAGATGAAGTCTTTGAATCTCCACAAGCTCTCCAAAAATGGGATTGTGTCATTAATATGAAGTTTTAAATGGTTGTTATTTAAGAGTGGAGTGCTGGAGAAGTGATTTTTTTAACAAAGCTGGAAACCACTGAGCTTTCTGCAGATTCACTAGGTTAACTAGAGAAGGTAACAGCTCACAATATGTTCTTATATCTGAATCATCAGAGGAAATTCACACAAAGAACAACATTTTATCAAGTGATAAACAAGTGTGTGTTACAGTGTGTTTACCTGTACAGCTTTTCTGAACTTGGAGCAGAAGTGTTGGAAAATGTTAAAACACTCATCTAGTTTGAAAGTTTCTTTGTCTTCACAGAAAAAATCAATCATATTGTCTCCTTCCCTCTGCAGCTCAGCCCTGCTGTTATTAACTTCAGCAACAGTGACAGCAGCACTCTGCAACAGATAAACATACACATACATAAAAACACAGATACACACACTGAACACACACACACACACACACACACCTGCAAGAATGTGTTGAGTTGCTGTAGAAGGTCAACATCGCTCTGAATATTCTCTTGTATGTGGCTGATTCTTCTGCTCAGATTCTCCAGCTCCTCATCCAAACTCTCCACACTCACTCTGTGCCAAGGGGACGGAGAGGCATGTATTGAGGGTAAATCAGCTGTCGGTCATGACATTATTAGTATGATTGATACAGATTTTAATGCCTGATAAAATCTGACTACTATAATAACCACAAAGAAAGTGTGTGGGGTGAGGACGGGTTCACCGACTTTTCAGAATAAAGTTCCTGACCCCCTTCCTAACTTTTCATTGTTTTCATTGTTTGTGTCCATTGTTTGCCTCTAAAGTAAGCTGCTTACAGCCTATCACCCTTGTGGCTCATCTGGGGTCATCAAGAGTTGTATGTTGTAACTCAATGTAATCCCTTGCACTCCCTTTGTTGGTTAACAAAGAACACCACTGAGTAATCCCGTGCATAACAGGGACTCCACTTTGAATAATCCACTGCACTCCCCCCTATGTCTCCTGTTTAGTAGGTTTCTATCTGTACCCATGAAGCGTGTGATTGGGGTCCTTTATCTGTATACCTCTGTAGACCTCTATATTGGTTACTGGTTAGTGGTTGTTCTCACCGTGTTGCCCTTTCAATGTGCAGGAGCCTTTCAGGAAACATTAGCAGCTGGTCATCTTTCTTCTGAGCCTCCTGAGGACACACACAAAGTAAATCATATTCTAAAGATAATCACACACTCACATTGTTGTAGTCTTACCAACCTGATCCTATTCACACACACAAGTAATGAAACAAACATACATGCTCTTCACAAACAACTTCACTCACCAAAGCAACGAAGTGCAGCAGGTTCATTCCTGGCTTGTTGGCTTTGGTGTCGGCCAGAGAGAGAAGAGAGGACAGTTTAAACCCTACAGCATTCGCTCCATAACCACCCTGAGAGGGAGAGATAGAGTTCAACCCTTTCAACTCCTTGAGACCACCGGTGGTTCCAAAACACACTGTCATATTCTTCATAACTTTCATATTTCATAAGCTAAATTCAAAGTTTGGGTGTCCTATGAGAGCTGTAACTGTCTTCTTTCCAGTCAAATAGATGGATAATGTAATTATAATTATAATAATGGTGGGTAATGTAATTATAATTATAACATCCAAATATATATATAGGATATTATTAATTATAATAATAAACCCTTGTAATTAAGAAGCTGAACTCACAATTTTTTTCTACTGAAAGTCGACCCATTTTTCCACAAATCTGGGCTATAAACTATAAATAGATGGTGTCTCTTCAGTGATCTGCTCTGTAAAAATTATTTGGCTTTCAGCAGTAAATTGTAAGCATAAAGTAATATGTTTATGATCATAAAACACATGTTCTGTTAATTAGAGGGAAACCTTTACAAAAAATAAATAAATAAAATTTACATTTATTTCATGCAGTTACTGAATAATTTGCCTTACGATTTGGTCATGTAAATTCAGATGGAAAAACCAAAATATGCCCTGGAGAATAAGAGGTTAAACCCTAAAGCATTTGCGCCATAACTACTCTGAGAGAGAGAGTCTGAAAGAGAGAGAGAAGAAAGAGAAAGACAGCTTACTGCGTTCATGATGTTTCCTGCTTCCAGAACCAAGTGCAGAATGGAATGAAGCTCCACACAGCTCAGCAACTCTACGACATTCAACATTAGTCACACAGTTACAATGACTTAGAGGTTTTATTTTACTTTTTAACTCTGAATTCACATCCAAGGAAAGTAGCTTACATGATAACAACAGTTGTCACATGATAACATCATGTAAAACCAAACTAAAGGCATGAATAAAGTGATGAAGATGAGGAGTATGAATGTGTGATGGAATTCACGATGTACAACAGACATGTCAGAAATGAGATCATAACTGAGAGAATTTGTCAAATAGTTCAGACAAACTGAGCTATTCAACTGTGTGGCCAGAAATGTTAAGATCTGTATTTTAAAAGCATAGAGTGTAGCAGAAGCTGCAAAATGTAGATCTTAACTTGAAGTCTGCTGAAAAGTTCTGACCACAATTGAACAGTAAATGATACAAGCTGTTGTGGAAGGACTGGAGTCTAGCAGTGACGATGTGACAACATTAATGGAGAGAGAAAATGGAAAGGAGAGGATGAAGTGATGGAAAGATCATTAAAAAGAAGATTAGACGAGCTGAAGGTGAAACAGAAAAAGAGAGATTATAAGTAAGTAAATGCTGATCACCTCTGGCGGCAGAGTGAAGGGTGGAAATGTCTTTCTTTAGAGATGAGCAGAGAAGATCAAACTCTTCCTTTAGCAGCATTGACTCTATGCGTACTTTAAACCTGCACACAGACACACAGTGATATACTTATAGTAGAAAGACTATATTTATAGATAGACTATTATATTTCCCAGATAAGCATGGGTGTGTGTGTACCTGGGTAAGGCAGTGAGCTGGTACATGAAGGAGTCGGCCACAGCCAGCTGTGATGGATCTCCTCCGAATGCTTGCAGCTTCTCCACCTGTCAGTCCGACAAGAAATGCATTAACGAACAACTCAAACTACTGTTGACGTATTTACATTCACAACAAGAACTGAAAGCAACCAACCAAAGTAGTTTGACTGATCAAACTAGGTAAATGTGTTTATTGGACTTTCAACAGGGTAATAACTTCAGTCAATGTTAGAACAAAAGATTGCAGAAATGAGCACAATAAAGTTGCTCAGGCTCCATTTTGTTTGTTTACTGTGCACATCACTATTTCAACAACACAGCCTTGAAATAATAATTATAGTGTAGTGTGAGCAGGACGGCCACTGTGGAACTTCGCAAGTTGTACAGTGTCCACAGTGAGACAGTAAGAACGTTTCACCTCATCAGACTCTGGCAGAAGCTTGAGCAGCTCTCTGAGAGGCTCTGGCCCAAATGCATCACTGTTACCATGGAGAATATCTTCTATGATGGATTGGTTGGATCTGAGGACACAAACACATAGAAACTAAAGCAAGATGTTAATAAACAAGAGTTCACTCATTTTAAAGGAAAACCTTCAGTCTGTCAGCACACTGTTCCAAACAGACACTCACGGGAGAACTATGGATAAATCAACCAGCAGAAAAATAACAAAAGCAGCAGCATGGTGGCGCTCCAGTTCCCCTCGAGAGCCTCCACTGTGAAAAGAATCCACAAGCTGTACGAACGAGAGCAACAGGCCACAATCGTGGAGGAGCTGAACCACTGAGTGTATGGGTGATACAGTATATTGCCAAAAGTATGTGGACACCTGACTATAACACCCATTCTACTGCCAGTGTTTGTTCATGGAGATTGCAAGGCTATGTGCTTGATTTTATACACCTGTTAGAGGGGGTGTGGCTGAAACATCTGAACTCAATAGTAAGAGGGGGTCTTATCCTCACTGCACCTCTGACCAGACCATGGCCAAGCTCTGGAACGTTTTTATGGATGAATCATTTTGCTCAAGAAGGATCTTCACTCTATTTTAGTTCTATCTGAGGTAACAAAGGCTGCCCACAACATGGTCCAACGATAATACCACATTGATGTGTGTGCTGTCTATTGAATTGTATATAAACTGTTGTGTCCAGCCCTGTTATTGCATTCTTTCTGTTTTTTTATTATGTTTACTTACAATCCTAGCCTTACATCTGCTATGGCTGCCCAGCTTGAGACGGCATAACGCCGGTTTCTGATTCTTCTCTTCCTGTCCTGCTGTATTCACCATATTTTAGAGTAACTACTTTTATCCACTTCAATTTAGCAGATGTGTACATTAGTGCTCGACAGTGGTTGGTAGACTGCCAAGAAGTGTCCCAAACTCCTCCTTCCTATCTAACTATATACATTCCCAATTTTTCTTTATGTTATCAATCACAAAGGTTTTGCATCCACCACCTCCTGGTCTCTTCCCTTTTCCTCCTCAACTCTGTTATTTCAATTCTTCACTGAATATGGGGTCTAATTTCTCAGAGATGATCCAGAACTGCAGCCTAATTTCTGAGTTTTTTCTTATATATTATTGCATCTATTCCTCAAACTGACCAACAAAGGCACGATCTATACTCACAAAGCTGTACTTTGTTTAACATTTTTTTATTAATGAAACTATGGGACGGTATGAGAATATGGACTTTAATTACATGTAGTTAGCAACTTAATGGAAAAATATATATTATTTACCTAGTTAAGTAATATAAACCAGCACATGGTCAAACATTTACAAAGCTGAAACCAGATAGAAAGTTTAGCACTGATATTAAAAAATAACAATAGCTTAAAGATATCTGATATAATATTCAAATACACACACATTCCTGACTTCACTGACGTGGTCAACCATACAATCCTTCTGGACATCCTCAAAAACCTTGGAATCACTGGCTCTGCGTGGAACTGGTTCAAGTCCTATCTGGAAGGTCGCTCTTATCAGGTAACATGGAGAGGGTCCACATCCTCTCCATGCAGGCTCTCCACTGGTGTCCCACAAGGCTCTGTGCTTGGTCCTCTTCTCTTTCTCTTTACACTAGTTCTCTTGGTGAAGTAATATCCTCTCATGGCTTCTCTTATCACAGGTTTCTAGTCGCATCTCGGCATGTCTGACTGACGTCTCTTCATGGATGGCAGCTCACCACTTGAAGACTGAGCTGCTATTCATTCCTGCAATTACAGGTCCTCATCGTGATCTTGCCATCTCATTCGAGAACTCTCTGATTGTTCCGTCTGTAGAGGCAAGAAGTCTTGTTGTGATTCTGGATGGCCAGAGTTAGGTTCGGCTCATATCGCGAACCTAACTCGGTCATGCAGATTTCCCCTGTTCAACATCCGGATCTGACCCTTCCTCACTCAAGAGGCCACCCAGGTGCTAGTGCAGTCTCTTGTCATCTCAAGGCTTGACTACTGCAACTCGCTCTTGGCTGGTCTTCCAATGCAAGACATCAAGCCTCTGCAACTCATCCAGAATGCAGCAACACGGCTCGTCTTCAGTCTTCCTGAGTTCAGTCATGTCACTCCACTGCTGCACTCCCTTCACTGGCTTCCTGTAGCTACATCAGATTTAAAACCCTGATGCCAACAAAGCCAAAAACAGACCAGCCCCTCCCTACTTGATGGCAATGGTGAAATCTCGAACTGTACCACGAGTCCTTTAAGCTTTGAGTAGAGCTCAGCTCGACTCGCCATCCTTCAAGAAGCGTGGAAGACAAGCATCAAGACTTTTCTCTGTACTGGAGCCCAGGTGGTGGAACAAACTCCCACTGTCTGAACAGCAGAGTCTCTCAAGGTCTTCAAAAACAGACTAAAGACTGTCTCTTTATACAGCACTTAAATGAGCACTGAGTTAAGTATTCATTGTAATATATTGTATTGCGCTGCTGTGTTTATTCTGTTCATTTTTCTCTCTGTATCAACCTGGACTTTTATTTCTAGCAGTATCTGAGCTCAGGACTGTCATTCTCTCAAACCTATTTGTAACTAGTAAAGATACTTTCTCTAAATAGACAAAACACTTTTTGTAAGTCACTCTGGATAAGAGCATCTGCTAAATGATGTAAATGAAAAAGTAAAACATAAACAGACTTACTTCTTAAAGCGTTTGAGGAAAATGGCCACATTCATGCTCCTCTTAGAATCCAGGATGGTAATCTGAAGAAAGAAAAAAAAACACAGTTCAGTTTCTGATCTGCAAACAGACAGACACATTTATAGAGGGGTTTATAGAGGAAAACAAACAAATAAACAAACAAACACAAACAACTGATTGAAATAAACATGTTAAAAAACACTGGTCTAAAGTCTTTTCTTGATCATGTGAAGGGCTGATTGAAACAGATACAGTGAGTAATCATGGACAGAGAGAGTGAACTGGGTCTGATGTCCTGCACAAGCCGTCCTATTTTAAAGGAGAAATCAGCATTCACACCCGATTTTCTCAGTGGACTGAACCGACTAATCCTGCTGCTGTGAGCTGAAATTAAGCCTGTGTTCAGACTTGGTAGGTTTGGTTTCATTCAAAAAAACCCAGATGTGATTGCTCTGTATATTTCATCAGGACAAGAAAGAACACTGCCATTAGAACCCATTGGAACACATGGACATGCATTATCTTTTCTTCATTATGAGCTCTGAATCGGTAATTGTAAAACTGATGTACATGTTCAAAGCCCTTAAAAATATTCAATAAAAAAACATGCATGTGACCACACACATCAATTATGTTATATATTATGTCTCTCTGCCTCTCAGCCTCCCAACCTACCCAGAACCCCGATCCCGATCACATGACCACCAACCCCCCTCACATGACACTCCAACGTTCTGCCTCACCTGACTACTGATCACTCTCACCTATTCGTTGTTATGGTTACCTGTTAGTATATAACCCCAGGCTTTAGCTTAGCTCATTTCGGATATGGACCATACTTTGTTTTCCTCGACCTTGTCTTTTTGCTTTGCCCTCTCAGTATTGTTGTGATTTCTGGTTTAACTCTGTTTCTGTTTTTTGGACATTGCTTTTTGGACTCTCCTCATGATTACTGTTTGGGTATTTTGGATTTTGACCTCGGACTGGCTGACTTTGATTACGGATACTCCCTTTTTGAATCAACAGAGCTGACTACTAATATAAACACACATTAACCCTTAGAGCCCAAGCCATTTCTGGGTATATTTTACTACCTTTACATTCTGGCTCACAGTGAATCCATTTCTGTCTGCAGTATGTTAGTATGGAACCAGAAAATTGTTTTTTAAAATATAGATATTTAAATATGAACCAATTAATGAGTGAGATCTCTTGAAACACATGTTTACAACATATAAGTGCCAACAGGTCTTATAAAGCTCTAAAAAAAAACAAACTAGAGCCTATGTACATAGGTGATTAGCAATTTTTGAGCCTATGTAGCCTAGTTTTGCTTAGACAATTTAAAGTTGGCAACATGTTGTTGAGAAATCACTCAGCAGTCTTCTTTTCTACTGAAGTCTCAATAATCAAATCTCTCTACGATAGGTGATCAACTTTTGGCAATCACATTAATGAAATGAGAACGGGTCACCGTGGTGCCTGCAGTGGTCTAAAGTTTGAAAGAAGGTTTATCCCTCAGGTAGAATTGTTATTTACTGGCAGGTGCACCTGAAATCTGATATGAGATGAATTCAAAGACTCAAACACTTTCAGTAATGTGGAGGAAGAGGAAATGTGTGTAGATAGAGAGTTTGCCACACAGATTGATAGAGAGGTATTCTTGTCTTATATGGACTGGTTTTATATTTGGAAGCCAGCAGTAAGGTGCATTGCCTCTATCAGCCTCGTGTCAGTTTAGTTCAGTACAGCCAGAGACCTGCAGTACATGCACAGCCTTCTTTTAAACAGCTTCAACAGGTTAGTTCATGGAATGATCCAAAGCACTCAAAATACTCATCTTTACCTTCCCTGTGTTTTTCTCATGTTTGGTTGCAAGTTTGATTAGGGTAGCAATTAGAACAAGAATGAATCTGAGCTAATGGGAGTCATGGGGTAAGAATTATACGATTGTACTGAAATGCACCCACCTCTTTTTTGGGTTCCTGTACAGATCCATGTGACTGGCTGCTCCTCCTGCTGGCCATCGTTGGTGATCGTGTATTATCATGTTGTCCGAACAGCTCCTCAATGGTCTTTACATCAATGTGGAACATGTGTTTCCCAGCTGCCCGGCCGAGCGTCCATAGGTTGGGTTCTCCGCGCTGATGGATGCGCTCCTCAGGAATGGGCTTCCAGTAGAAACTCCGTACCCTGCGCCTCCGCTGGCCTGAGCCTGGCAGGGGAGGTGGGGGAGGAGGCACATCTTGGACAGGGGCACTGATGGGGGTGTGTTCAGAGACTGAGGGAGGAGGGGCCATTACAACGGAAGCGGTTCCACCTTCCTCCTCCCAGTTCTGCTTCTCATCGGCCTGTGAGATGAAGCTCATCACATCATGGAGTATGACTGGATAAGAGAAAAAATGGACCAAATCAGAAAATGAACGACACCAAAACAGCCACAGTGTGGTCTCATGACCTTCTGCTGCCTGCAGTCCCCAAAGAAAACAGCACAGCAGCCAAATGCAGCCACACAGAGCTCACAAGACAGGGGACCCTGCAAGAAGAACACATGCAGAAGAACAGCTTCAAAGCTCCTTGGCATAGATTTAACAAGTCTCTGAAATCTCCTATAGACGTTCAACTGGGTTGAGATCTGGATGAAATTATATATAATTAAAAATATTAGAAGTTTCAAAGAGAAAGTAATAGAGAAAAACTTGAAGCTGCTGGATCCTTTTAAACTGTTCTTATTCATGCTTATGCCCTAATCATAATTATATGCCTCATTCATTACACATGAAAGTAATCTTATTTACACACTCAAATCATTAGCTAAAGCAGTTAACCATAAACCTGCCCCATACAATGGTTTGTCAGTTCAACTTAAAACAATAACTACATGATGGTAACAAGTAACTGATTTCAGTAAATTCAAATAAATACTTTATAAAAGTGTTAGTTTTGATGAAAGAACCAATATTGTGTATCCATTCAAATCTTAAAAATACTTCAAGTCAACTTCAAATTCACAGTAAGTGATCTGTCCTCCTTCCAGAGCTATGTAGATTGCTTGTTATCTGATCACAGAGGAGCATTTAATAAATCCTGTAGTACAGTATTGGCTACAAAATGTCAGGGCAGGGCACGGCAGGGGTCAGGGGAACGCTGCCTGTTTGACTTCTGTCTGTTTCTAAATGTAAACAGCGAATGTTCAGTCCTTATATGGAGTCCTGCAAGGCTCTGTTATAGGGCCATCAATGAATAAACCATTAGTCTCCATTGCAGTGTTGATGACGCAGGCTGTGTGTATCAGCTGATGTAGATAAGACTCCAAGAACAAGAACTGTGTAAAGGATATTAACCACTGGATGCTGAATAACTTCCTCCTACTTAATTCAGACTAGATAGAAGAGCATCAAGAGTATCTGTATCTGTCAAAAACCGTAGTGTCAGAGGTTATGAATTAAATAAGATATTAAAATGTCTGCTTGCAGTTCACACCACCTCCACTCTGCTTTAAATACTGAAAAGATACAGAGAGTGATGTGATGCACATACAGTCTGAACCTTAATGTAAATCCTATGTGTAAATCATTTTTGTGTCTGAAAGTCAGGTTGATGGAACCATGCTACTGGGCAGTTTTTTGTTTTTTGTTGTGTTGGCAAAACAAAGCTTTCTGAAGCAGTAAAGCTTTCCTTTAAATGTTATTGGACAAGAGTTCATTATTGGAAGCATTTAAAAAGCAGTGCACATTAATGACACCTGGTGGTTTAAACCTGGTTGTGAACAGCAGCTATAAATCCACTTTTTCCAAGGGATATTAAAGTTAAATTCTTTATTTATTAATAATTTAAAAGTAAGCAATTCATTTTAAAAAATCAATGAAGGTAATTACTAACAGAAACATGATGCCGGGCAGTAATATGATTTCAAAAAAATGACATCACACTGTAGAAGCTCATGATAGTTTACAGCAAATCTTCCTTAATGCAACATGACAGAACTGTCCAGACGCTCACAGATAGAATCAGAAAAAGAGGCTGTTCTGGTGAAAACGTTATCCAAACTCATCAGAAAACAGGGTGGGTCAAATCTAAAACCGTCCAAAAAGACAATCATAACAAAACAGGCTAACAAGATCAAAAAGGGCAAAGGCAAAAGACAGAGTTGCAATATGCTAACTAAAGTCTGGGCTGTATACACTAACTACTCTATGTCATGTGGAAAAACAAGACAGGTGCAAAATATTATTATACGGGTGAAGGAGACAGACGATTGGCTGTGGATGGTCACGTGATCTCCAAGGTAGTTCTGGGAGTTGGAGTTCACTAGCTGATCAGGTCCAGAGGGATGCACGACACTTGCAAACTTCTGCAGAACATGATTCATGTATAACTTCAACATGTTCTCTCATAGACAAGCTGTGACCTTCACTAATGAAAATTAGTGTTAGGTATTGACTCAAAACCATGGAAACCTGTGCAGGTTCACTTGTTTTGAATCAGTTTCTAGCACCGTGACTAGGATTAAACTTTTAGTGAGGTCTGTTTGTCTCAGACAAACAGACTGAATGTGTACCCTGAAATTGAGGGTGGTGGGTGGAGGGGTTAAATGCCCACTTGTCCTCATGGTTCTGGCAGCCCTGACAAAGTGCACACAGCAAAAACAACTATGTTTAAACTACAATTTACTGTTCAGCTCTAGTGTCTGTGTCTGGATCGGATGGAATTTGACTGTAGAATTCAGTAGAGTGGAGCTACAGCCCTGGTTCCTCATGTAATAGTTCTTCTCCACTGAGCCTCTGCTAACCTATGGGCTGGTGGACTAGTCCAAGGGTGACAGACTGCTGTCCTGGAGGGTTAGTGTCCAGCACAATTTGGTGATTTCCTGCTCTGGTGGACATCAGCTCCCAGGACCCTCAGACTTCTCTAACATACTAACTGTCCTCTCTAACAGATATTTTTTTCAACCTCCTGGTTTTCAGAAGATTAAATATCGAACATGAAATTAGACATCATTCACGCCCACATACAGCAAATATTTACCCTGCACCTGCATAATGACCTCACCTTCGCACTGAACAATACAACACAGCACACCCATATACTACCACACGAACACAATCTCATTCACCCTAACATAATCTACAGCCAGGACTGGGATTAGATACTACCCTTAAATTCAGAATAAAATAATCTACAGCCAGGACTGAGATTAGCTATTATCCTTAACTCCAAAATATATCAGTCTACAGCTGAAACTGGGATTAGGTACTAACCTAATCTCAGAATAAAATAATCTACAGCCAGGACTGAGATTAGCTACTAGCCCTAACTGAAGAATAAATAATCTACAGTCAGGAGTAGCTTTAGCTTTAGTGATTTTATATGAATGGCAGCATGCAGATCCACTCAGCATTGATTGGACATTTGTTAAATAAATGATGTGTGTTATTTCAGCTGAATGTGGAGTTTACTGCATCATGTTGCACAAAGCTTAAATCAAAGGAGCTCAGCTGCAGTAAAGGTTTAATGCGACAGACTTAAATGATGTTTGGGTGCATAAAAAGAAGGATAACCACAAATAGAGGGTGAGCTTCTTCATTAATCCTGTCCATGAAGATCAAGACAAGAATCAAAGCCCTAAGAGTGGTTCCAGCAGAAAGACTCACCACTAATGCTGATACATAAACAGCTGAGTCATTTTCATATTTCTGCTGTGTCCACTATCAGATACTAATACACTGCAGGTGAAGACACGAGTAAAGGAGCCTGATGAACTGGATTTGGTTGAATTAAATGTTTTATATATTCTAAAACTCATATTGATGAATATTAAAAGCATGCTAGACATGCTTCTCTGTTGAGGACATGTTGCTTGCTGGAGAAAGTTTCTGGGGTGGACCCTCCTGGTACAGCTGTGAAATACTAAAGGAAGTACAATTTTCTTGGACTTCTATGTTATATTTACATTTTTCAATTAAAATGGGTCTTTATTTGTGATTGCTATTTTTCCCTCCATGATTTTAGTTATAAAGTTTTCCTTTTGTATTTTTATTAATCAAATTTTAAAGTGAGCGTGAGGATGATGGAGTTTATTATTTAGTGTCTGGTCATTTGACAGCGTCCAGGTCTGTGTCTTTGGTGTAACTGTTTGCAGTGGAGGGTAAAAAAGGCCTAAAGCCATTCTCAAGTGAATGTATCGTTCTGTGAAATAATAACTCCTTTTGAAAAAATCTGATATAAAATCATTTTTAAAAATGAGTAGAAGTGCAAAATTAGCAGTTCAGAAAGCCTCTTAAGTACTGAGTAACTTCTAGAAGAGCAGCAGAAGTTCTTAGAACATCCTGTGTCTATCAGCGGAGGAGCTGAAGTCTGTTAGACTCTAATCTTTTTTGTTGTGTTATTGATCAAAAACCATATTATAAACATTATAAACCACAGAAAGAAAGATGGAGCAGAAAGCAGGACTATCAGAATAGCATGAACAGAGAGCTGTTAACTCACCTTCTTCTGGATCTCCAGCTTTTGTCTCCACACACTCACACACTCTGTCCTCACTGAACACCACAGAGCGTAAGTGTGTGTGTGTGTATGAGAACAGTTCACACCCACAACGTCATGTCATCATCGATGTAGGACTGACCGTCTCACTGACCGCCTCTGTTCATTCACACATAATGATAAGCATCTCAATTAAAACACCTTCACCTCCTCCTTACCGCGCTCACACTGCTCACCTTTACTGTCAGATAAACACCTGTTTACTGTTTCTGTTCTTTAAACTCTCCGGTCTCGCTGTGATCTGACTGCTCACGGTGATCTGACCGTTGACTGTGATCTGACCACTCGCTCTCGTTCTCTCTCTGTATTTACTGAACTCTTTATAAAAGTCTTCATAAAGTTACTGAATGAAGTAAAAGTGTCCGGTTCTTCACAGTAACTGTTGATCTTTCCTCACTGCGAACTTGTGTGTGGTTTACACTGATAACGGCTCAGTCAGTTGGCCACACCCTGCTTCTGTCAACTGTTTGTTTCCTTGGAAACCGTGTCATAATATGATCTCTGCCCACTTTGGTCATGTAGCTCAGGAGGTCAGCTGAGGCTCTCAGGTGAACCCCCAAAAAACAAACTAATAAATAAATGAATAAGCAGAGAAGCTGCACTGTGAAGACGACAGGATGAAGATGAAAGTTTATGCAGTATTGTGTATGAGTGTTTGTGGTGCAGCGTCATTTTAACATTAACCTTATTTTAATATTATTAACGTCATTCACAGCAGCGCAAGACGTCAACACAAACTATAATTAAGTGAAAGTGTGGCTGTGAAAAGTTTACTTAATTAGCACTGCTTTTATCCATCATCTCTCTTATATTTTATTCATCAATTCATTCATAATTCACTTTTACATGATCACATTATTTGTGTTATTGTGCTTATGAGATTGATATATGTAAATGCAATCTGTTCTGATTGGCTGTCCTGTATTGTGACTCATTAAGAAGCAGTCTGGCTTGAAACACTCCTTATTAATTCAATGTGAATAGGCAAGGCTAAACTGCTGTTGGCTGAATGGGTGGGGCTAAACTGCTGTAGGCTGAATGGGTGGAGCTAAACTGCTGTAGATTGAATGGTGGGGCTAAACTTCTGTAGGCTGAATGGAAGAACTAAACTTCTGTAGACTGAATTCAGCCTACATGCATTAACAGAATTAATGCATGCTAAATTAATATCTTTATTAATTTAATATTGAGTACAGCACAGTGTGATATTCAGTTTCAGATTCTGCACCAACTGCCTGTTTGATGGACATGAACTGAAGAGGAGGAAGAGGAGGAAGAGGAGCTCCTAGCTCAAGTATACTGATGTGTACCAGTTCACAGGGTGCTTTGCAGTCATTAAGCTAGTTTAAACTGATATACATTCTTAGAGAAGTGGATTTTGGTCATTTCAGCAATCGATGTTTCAGTGAACAACTTTGCAGTTACTCAAATCAACATTTGAACTGTTTGTCATTCATTTTGGATTATTTGTTCAAACTCCACTGTTTTCTATAGGTCAAGAGGTCAATTTTACATACATCTTTGAATGCTCCTCATCAAGAACCACGATAGAAAGATTCTATCTTCTTTGATAAAAAGTTTGCAAATAAAGTTGTGGTTTTGATCTGTTATTATATTGTTATTTCATATTATGATCTGTCTGCTGAATGTAAATGTGCAGTATTTAACTGTAGCCACTAGAGTGTAGTATTTATTTTAGCCACTAGAGTGCAGTATTTATTTCAGCCACTAGAGAGCCACCTTGTGTGTGAGCCCATTTATTGAACTAGTCAAGTACATTTGTGAACACACTTATTTCACGTGTACTTTATAGAATTAAAATGTCAACAAATAACTTCCAGCCTATCGACTGAAGGACTCAATTTAATCCTCAGATGCTCTTTAACTTTGGTTAGTTTTCCACCAAATCATAATATGCATGTGCTGCCAACAAACCCATGAACATAACATCCACATACAGGGACAGATTTAGTGATTCTGGGGCTCTAGGCAAACAAACAAACAAACAAACAAACTAGAAGGTAATTTGCTTAAAACACACTAAATTATCTTGTTATATAGTGAGATAATTTGGTACAGAATAAAATAGAAATAAAGATTAAATTTTTCTTTTTTTCAGGTAATAAAATAAATTTTATTTATTTATTTATTTATTTTTGAGCAATAAATAATCCCACTACAGTTTGAGAAAAGTAATTAGCAGAGGTGATTTAATTCACAGGCTTACCTGTGGTAATTCAGGGCCTTAGTGGTAAGATTTCCACTCACCTGTGTAAATTTGATGTGACAATAAATATGATTTGATGTGATTTGATTTAAACTTGCTCACATCCGCCAAGCAGCTCCTCAGTGTTTTGTATCTTTGTCACATTAAACTTAAAACAAAAGCCTTGTTTAACACGAAAAACAAGACTGGTCCTGCGATATTTCATAAATGAAAGAGAATGATGAAACATCTAATGGGTGATAACAGAATATGAACCTGAGGTGTGTGAGGTGGACTTTTGATAAATGTAATGAATTAGGCACTGAAGCTAAGGGAGCACAAATGGGTCTGTTGGGTTTATTGTCCTGTGAAAAAGTAGGCAAACATGGAACATGGCTCAAAGTAATGAATTTATTGAAAAGGTGGAGAAGTGATTGTCATTAATCACTGGAAAATATGTGCCTGGATCTCACTTTGATGAAATAAACACTCAACAGCAGTGAATACATTCAGTAGATTATCAAGAGACTTTTAATTAACTGCGTAAATTAAATGTCTTTATAATCTGCTGAATTCAGTTGTGTATTTGGAGTCCAAGTTCATATCTGTAGATGTTTAATCTGAGAGGAACTGAACATGTAACAGGTCTTATACAGACTATGAACACGCTGTTACAGACACAGTGACACCATTGTGTACCTGGAGCTTCACTGGATTAAGTTTCAGTTCAGGTTAATGTTAGGGTTGAGCAATTATCTGTTCACTGTTCTGTACTGATGAGTTCAGTTATTGTAAAATAATCACAGCCATTCACACATTATAAGGTTATGTATTTTAGATAAACTGAATTAATTCAGCTTACAGGCATGTAAATCGATAAATCTGTAGGTCCATCTGCAAACAATCCTGTAGGTCCATTTGCATACAAAAACTAGAAAGTTTGAACATTTCAGTGTGCAGTTATCAACACTACACTGGCTGCCAGTTAAGATTTAGTAGATTAGTACCTTTAATTAAGCCTTTGGTATTTAGTTTTTTCCATTACATAAACGATGTGGATTTGTCAGTTCATGGACATGAAGTAGTATGGCAATCTAAACTTGTAAGTCCATTAAAGAAAAACAATAAGCTAATAGAAAAGCAATAAGACAATATAATAAAAAACAAGCCTTAAAATTAAATACAAGGAAATAAATAAAAATATCTATACAACAAAAAAAGAAAAAAAAACAAAATTATTACAAATACACTGAGAGTCATTACAGAAAAAAAATGGGAAACCCCTGGAAGAAACAAGCAAGTTTTATTAGGTCTTTTCTGCTCTGGTAGGCAGCTGTGTTGTGATTGGCTGAGAAACACTTCACTCCACCCCCTCTGTGAACGTAACCTGAGTGAACTCTGCACTTCCTCCTCCATGAACTAAACCAGTCCAAACATATTTTAGTGGAAGTAAAGTCATACTCATCAACAGGAAGAACTTTAGGAGAGAAACTCTGTGAGTCTCTGTGAGCTCTGGCCTTTTAGTGATGATAGGGTTAAAAATAGTTACTGTATTTCAAAGAAATTACTACATTCTGACTGGACAACCAGAGACTTTTCCGTTAGAAGATGGAAACGTCCACTCCAGCTCACACCGGTCCTATTCAGACCAACATGACAACTCAGACAGGAGGAACCGTCTGTGCTCCTGTTCTCCATGGAAACAATATTCAAGGCTCAGTGAATGTAACCATTATTCAGGGAGGTCAGTGATGTAGTGTAAGAAACTGTGTGTAAATTAATGGAGCTGTTTGTCTGGCTGAGGGTTTTAGGTTTTATATATATATATAAGTATATTGTATATGCATGAGTTGTGATGAATTATTTGTACATCCGTCTGTTTTATTATTTGAGAGGTGGTTTACAGAAATACACCTAACCGATTGTTATTAGTTTTAAAGAGCATTGATAAAGTTCTGATATTTCCAGTTGTCTCTCCACCAGGCCAGGAAGGTTCCAGTTCTAGCACCAGTACAGTTCAGGCTGGAGGTTCTCCTGGTGCTCCTGCCCTCACCGAAGGTAACGTCTTAATGTACACATCAGTGGTTATTTACTACTTATTCATTTAAAAGTTCTGTAAATGGGTGTGTTTTCTATCGCATTAAACCATAACCATATCAACAGGGAATACAGGTGATTGACAAGCCTACCATACTTTTTAAGGACAGGAAATGAATCAAAATATTTATACGATGGTGACAGTAAAGAATCAAGTGTTCTCTCTGATTTCATAGATGAAACAATCATTTGTCCCTCAAACATTGAAGTCCAAGGTCCATTAGAACAAATACACATATGTACATAATTTCTGTTCACTTTGTAGAAATTTTTATTAAGACTTTGGTGAATATGCTGCTAACATTGGTCACACAATTTAATTCTGACATATATATATATATATATATATATATTTTATAGAATTATTATTGAATCACAAATATATATATATATATATATTTTTTTTAGAATTATTATTGAATCACAGAGGATTTAAACTGTTCAACAGAATCCCTGATCAACAGAAACATAATCTTTCAAGTCAAAGCAAAAGCAGATCTCTGCACAAATATAAAATACAAAGTCCTTGATTTCATAAGCATTCACCTCCATCAAGTCTGTATTGAGTAGGTGCATGGGTGCATGTTAGGCAACAATCATAGCCTTGCGTCTGTTGCTAAGCAATTATTAGCATATTATTTTCATAATCCAGAAACGTAAGCAATTCCAACTAATCTCAAACACTTTAAAACATAAATATTTGTTATTGTTGCTGTAATGATCATTGTGTGTAAAATAAAAACTTAAACCCAAAAATAATGGACCAACTTAAGAGAATGAATAAAGGTATCTGACTGTCAATTTTTTAATGCAATTTACTTGAAACATGTTGCACACATTAAAAAATATATTATCTGTGTTCATTGTCAGATTTGGTCACTGTGTACAAACAAAAACTGGAAAAAAAATTTCACAGAATTTATGAAGGAATCTTCCAGCATGGAACATCAGTCCTTCTGAATGAGATCTACACAGAACTCTACATCACAGAGGGAGGGAGTGGAGAGATCAATAAAGAACATGAGGTCAGACAGATTGAGACAGCATCCAGGAAACTAGCAACACAGGACAAACCCATCAAATGCAATGACCTCTTTAAAGATAAACCCATCAGAACTGTGCTGACTAAAGGAGTTGCTGGAATTGGAAAAACAGTCTCTGTGCAGAAGTTCATTCTGGACTGGGCTGAAGGAAAAGCTAATCAGGACGTCCTCTTCATATTTCCACTTCCTTTTAGGGAGCTGAATCTGATAAAGAAAGATTTCAGTCTGATGGAGCTTCTTCATCGCATTTTCCCAAATACAAAACAACTAAGATCAATAGACTGTGATGCTTACAGAGTCATATTCATCTTTGATGGTCTGGATGAGTGTCGACTTCCTCTAGATTTCCAGAACAATGAGAGCTTGTGGGATGTAACAGATTCAGCCTCAGTGGATGTGCTGCTGACAAACCTCATCAAGGGGAACCTGCTTCCCTCTGCTCTCCTCTGGATAACTACTCGACCAGCAGCAGCCAATCAGATTCTTCCTGAGTGTGTTGACCTGGTAACAGAGGTACGAGGTTTCAGTGACCCTCAGAAAGAGGAGTACTTCAGGAAGAGAATCAGTGACCAGAGCCTGGCCAATAAAATCATCTCACACATGAAATCCTCAAGAAGCCTCTACATCATGTGCCACATCCCAGTCTTCTGTTGGATTGCAGCCACTGTTCTAGAGAAAATGTTGGGTGGAGCAGAGAGTGGAGAGATCCCCAAGACTCTGACTCAAATGTTCACCCACTTCCTGATCTTTCAGATCAAACACAAGATTAAAAAGTACCATGGGAAATGTGACACTGATCCTCAGCAGACAAGAGAGATGATTCTGGCACTGGGAAAACTGGCTTTCCAACAGCTGGAAAAAGGCAATCTGATCTTCTATGAGGAAGACCTGAGAGAGTGTGACATTGATGTCAGAGAAGTGTCAGTGTACTCAGGAGTTTGTACCCAGATCTTCAGAGAGGAGTTTGGGCTGCACCTGGGGAAGGTGTTCAGCTTTGTGCACCTGAGTGTTCAGGAGTTTCTGGCTGCTTTATACACATTTCTCTCCTTCATCAGCAGAGATGAAACAAAACAGCTGACTACTGATCTCTCTGGTATTTCCAGAGAATTCAAAATGTCAGACCTCCTCAAGGGTGTAGTGGACAAAGCCTTACAGAGTGAGAATGGACACCTGGACCTTTTCCTCCGCTTCCTACTGGGCCTCTCGCTGGAATCCAATCAAACTCTCTTACGAGGCCTACTGACACAGACAGGATGCAGCTCTTGCAGCAAAGAGGAAACAGTCCAGTACATCAAGGAGAAGATCAGGGAGAATCCCTCTCCAGAGAAATCCATCAATCTGTTCCACTGTCTGAATGAACTGAATGATCGTTCTCTAGTGGAGGAAGTTCAGACATACCTGAGGAGAAAAGTTTACTTTAGTCTCCGTGGAGTCAGTCTCTCTCCCACCCAGTGGTCAGCTCTGGTGTTTGTGTTGCTACACTCAGAAGAGGAGCTGGATGTGTTTAACCTGAGTAAATATGAAGAATCAGAGGAAAGTGTTTTGAGACTGTTGCCAGTGATCAAAGCCTCCAGAAGAGCTCTGTAAGTACTTCAGTCATAAATATGTTCTCTAAAAACCTAATCCTAACCCCCACCCCAGCCCTAATCCCAACCTTAACCCAAACCTAATCCTAAACCTTACCTTAACCTCAACCCAACACCTAATCCTAACCCTCACCCTGGCCTTAATCCTAACCCTAACCTTAACCCAAAACCTAATCCTAATCCTCACCCTGGCCCTAATCCTAATCTTATCCAAACCCTAATCCAGTGAAGCTCCAGGTACAGAATGGAGTCAGTGTGTCTGCAACAGCTTGTTGAGGATGATGATGATCTGTGTTAAACCTGTTTCATTTTCAGTTTGTCTCAGGTAAAACATCTACAGATATGAGCTTGGACTCTCCTAATAAAGTGAAAAACAACTGAATTCAGCAGGTTATAAACTAATTTTATTCACAAAATTATCTCTAGATCATCCACTAAATGTATTCACTGCTGCTACACCATTAATATGTTGTTAATGTTACTGAAAGTTTCATGAGTGTTTATTTTATCTAAAAAGAACCCCTTAAAATAGTGTCACCCACTGTGTTAAATCAAATGCATGGTGCCTCTACATCATATGGATTTCACAGAAAGCATGGTAAAGTGTTAAATAGATATACTAATGCTGTGTACAAAACAAGACATCCTGCTAAACTTCATCATAATGCTACTCTCATGAGCCCTGAAATCTGTTGTGAAAGATTAGGGCAGAATTACACTTTGCACTATGCGATACTGGCTGATGAATATAAAGATAAATCTGTCATTTTTGCTTATTACATTAATGATTGAAAAGTGATCTGAAGGACAGGTGGAAAAAAATGACAGAGGGAATTGATGTTTGAAGTTCTGGAGCCACTGGATTTGGACCCAGCGCTCTGCTTGGGTTCATCTAAACTTTGTTTTGTGCACTGCAGCTCAAGCCTCGGGACATGTAGGCACATTTTTGAAACTGCCAATCAGTTGCACACATTTATGACTAATGCCATGACCTTCATAATCTGTATTTGTATACAACTTTAATAAACTATATTTATATACCTTCATAATCTGTATTTATACACAAATTTCATAAACTGTATTTATAATCAACCTTCATTAACTGTATTTATATACAGCCATCTTAAACTGTATTTATACACAACCTTCATGTTTATACACAACCTTTATTAACTGTATTTATATATAATCACTGTAAACTATATTAATCTACAACTTTTATACACTGTATTTATACACAAACTCCATTAACTGTATTCATATATATACACCTTTTTAAACTGAATTTATCAACAATCTTTATGAACTGTTTATCCACAACTTTCATAAACTGTATTAATTCACAATATTTGTGTATTTATTCCCAACCTTGATAAACAGTATTTATACACAACCATCAGTAGTCCCTAACTTGCAATAACATGTTGGAAGATAAGAAGTAATTCTTAACTTAAGAAAATATCAGCATCTAAAGTTCTGGCCACCATTATCAGCACCCTTTTCTTTTCTATGTAAAATTTTAAATATTTTCATAAATGGAAATGTACCAACTTTTTATCATTAGAATATTCTAATGTACTTCTAAAGTTCTTAAACAAAACAGCTTCAGTTTTTTCAACCTGTTGGAAGTTATTTTAAAGAAAAGAAATAAAATATGACTGTATTAATGGCACACTTTCCTAATATTTTGTTGCATGCCTTTTAGCAGCGATGACAGCATCCAAACATTTTTGTACAAGCTCCTTCATCAGTCTGCTGGCAGCTTTTCTCACTCCTCCATTGCAAAGCGTCAAGCCCTTGCATGTCAATGTGTGTCTCTTGTCAGATTTCAGCTGATCTGATCTCATTCAGTTTAAAACAGTCCACTTCTTCATTGCCAAAGAGCTCTATTTTCCATTTGGTCTGTTCACACAACATTTGCCCAAAAGGACTGTGGTTTGTCCAAGTACATTTTAGCAAAGATCAGTCATGCCTTTACCCATGAAGTCCTGCTAGGTTTAGTGTGTGGTATATGGTATGAGTTGTAACATCACTCCAGACCGCTCTTGGTCTGCCTTTAGCTCTTTGGATGTTACACATGGTGTAAGACTTTTCTCATTGATTTTCCTCATTGACCCACATCCTAGGAGATTCTTGACAGTTCCATGAGCAATAAACTTCTTAATTATGTTCCCCACTGTTGAAACAGGGATGCCAAGGACTTTGAAGATGGGCTTGTAACCTTTACCATTTTTGTTTTTGGATATAATTGCATTTCTGATGCTCTCAGACAGCTCTCTTGTCTCAACCTTTGTGAAAAGGGATCAGGGAAAGTTTAAGCATTAAAGCCATCATTCATTAGTTAATTCAGGTCATGTGAGCCCTCATTTATGACAGGTGAGTCTAATTTCTAATTTATCACAGATGAGTCTAGTGTAGTTTAATCTGAATGGAATTTATCAGAACAGTGCCAGTAATTGTGTCACATCCCTATTTCCATTTTGATGCTTTTCCCCCTATTGCTTTTTATTTTTTTTTCTTTCTTTACTCTTAGCTGCTGTGTATTGAACATGAGTGTATATTGGCCAATGTTGTTAACAACACATTTTTGTTTTAGGAGATATTGTGCATTGTGCACTTAAAACTCAGAGGTGCTAACAATGGTGGCCAGAGCTGTATACGTATAATTTGTATTAAAAAGTCTTATTTTGACTTTGCCAGATATTTAAACTAAAAAATTTAACTTTTGTGTATGAGACTGTGTTTGAGTGAGATTGTGTTTGTGTAAGTGTGTATGCTTGTTTGTGTGTGTGTAATGTCTGTGTTCTGATGCATCATCATTTCTCTCCCAGGCTGCATGGTTGTAATCTCACAGAGAAGGGCTGTGAAGCTCTGTCCTCAGCTCTCAGCTCAAACTCCTCAAGTCTGAGAGAACTGGACCTCAGTAACAATAAACTGCAGGATTCAGGAGTGGAGCTGCTCTCTACTGGACTGAAGAATCCACACTGTAAACTGGAGAAACTGAGGTGAGATCATCACTTTATCTATGTCAATGTCTAGATCTCTCTCTCTCTCTCTCTCTCTCTCTCTCTCTCTCTCTCTCTCACACACACACACACGCACACACACACACACAATGTCATCAGTCATGGCTTCGGTGAGACAGAAGATGGATGAATAATCTAACCTAAATCTATGTCTACACTGTAGCATCCACTATACATTTCTTTAAATATCAATAGGCAAGCCTGCAATCGTGTAAAATTCTGTACACTAGCAGGGGCTGGAGGTTAGGGAACCAGCCTTGTGACTGGAAGGGTCACCGGTTCGATCCCCTTGGCTGACAGTACGTGACTGAAGCACCCTTGAGCAAGGCACCTTACCCCCAACTGCTCCCTGGGCGCTGTGAATAGTTGGCAAACTGGAAATCCTCAGCCCATTTTTGCGGCTAAGGGCTTGATCATTCCTGGATGCTGCTTTTGTACTTAATCATGCTTACTATCACCTGTTTAAAATACATAATCATTATGTAATTATTTTACCTTATTATTAGCTCTCAATTGAGTTTACTCACCTGATTTTAAGTTGTAGTGACTGACAGTGACAGTGACAATGTTTGATTTATAGTGTGTATTTAGTGTTTTGTGGGGGTAATATCCACACTATAAGCTGTAACTCAGTTTGTTCTACATAAATATAATATACATTTTCTCTTTTGGTCTGGAAATGAACCTGTTTGTCTTTGAGAGTTTAGCATTGTTGTCAGAGCTTAATGGACAAATGACCATGGAAGAGCGAGAGAAAGTGTGTGTGTGTGTGTATGTGACTGTTTCCAAAACTAAAGTAAGCTGCATTGTCCATTGTTTCAGCACTGGTGAGTGAGGAGTTTTTCTCCTTCATTTTGCAGGCTGTTTAACTGCAATATTACAGATGAAGGCTGTGCTGCTCTGGCATTAGCTCTAAAATCAAACCCTTCCTCTCACCTGAGAGAGCTGAACCTGAACCACAATAAACCAGGAGAGTCAGGAGTGAAGCTGCTCTCTGATCTACTGGAGGATCCACACTGTAAACTGGAGACACTAAAGTAAGTTACTGACTAAGTGTTTGTACATGCACACCAATGCACACACACACACACACACACACACACACACACACACACACACACACATGAACATGGTGTTGAATGTGAACAATCTAAAGGCGATTTCTATAAAGCTGCTTTGTGACAACACCTGTTGTAAAAAGCACTATATAAATAAACTTTGCTTGCTTGCTTGTGTATGAGTGAATAGATAAGTTTCTATTATATTTTATGTATTCAATAAAATTGAAAAAAAGGGGTTATTGGCAACCTTTCAGTAAAATGATTGGTTATAAAAAGAGCATCCCAGAGAGACTGAGTCCTTCAGAAGTATAGTTGGGGAGGGGATCACCACTCTGAAAATCTGCATGGACAAAAAGTGCAGTAATAGAAGCATTACATTTCTCAGTGTAAGCAAAGAACTTTGTGGTTTATCAAAAATCCAGAGAAATTTCTGAGTGCCAGGGACAAAGCCAAAAAAAACAACAGTCAAGTTAAGTCAAGTCAAAGTATTTATATAGCACTTTTTACAACATGCGCTGTCACAAAGCAGCTTTACAGAAAAAGCTGTTGTTGAAAAAATATTGTTCATCGACAATATTGGTTGGCCATTAACTTGGACTTCAGGCAGCATAAAAAACAGACAGTTCTGTAGTGGAAATCACTGCATGGTCTCAGTAACATTTCTGAAAAACATTGTGAACACAGTTCATCACTGAATCAACAAATGCAAGTTAAAATTCTACCATGCAACAATCTAAAGGTATGTATGAGTGAATAGATAAGTTTATTTTATATTTTATGTCTTCAATGAAATTATATGTATATGAGTGTGTGTTTGTGTGTATGTATGTATGTGTGTGTACGTGGGTGTGTGCGTGTGTTGATCTGTAAGTGTAAGGAGCTTTTCTCCTCTGCAGGCTCTGGAACTGCAGTATTACAGACAAAGGCTGTGCTGCTCTGGCTTCAGCTCTAAAATCAAACCCCTCCTCTCACCTGAGAGAGCTGCACCTGGACTCCAATAAACCAGGAGAGTCAGGAGTGAAGCTGCTCTCTGATCTACTGGAGGATCCACACTGTAAACTGGAGAAACTACAGTGAGTTACTGATTTACTGTGTGTGTGTGTGTATATATATATATATACACACACACTCACACAAATACTCATACTGACACTCACACACATACACACACACACACACCTACATGAACAGTGTATTAAAGTGAACACAAATGTATAGTATAATAGTAGTGAAGAATCTAAATGTGTGTAGGAGTGAACAAATGTTTAATATATATTGTGATCAATGAAAACAATGCAAACATTTCATATTATTTCAAGAACAGTCATGAACAATATGACATAAAAATGAAATTTTGAAACTGAGAAATGTTATAGTTTTTGAAAAATATATACCCAGTTTGAATTTGATGGCAGCAACATGTTCCAAAAAAGTTGGGCAGGGGCATGTTTACCACTGTGCTGCATCACCTCTTCTTTTAACAACACTGCAAGTGTTTGGGAACTGAGAAGACACTGCTGTAGTTTTGAAAGTGAAATGTTTCTCCCATTTTTGCTTAATATATTAATATATATTAATAGATAATTTAATCATAGCCATTGTTTCATCTGCTTTGCAATATTTTGAACTCTTCTCATATTCATATAAACAGATTCATGATAGGCTTCTAACAGTAGCCACTGACAGTCTTGTTATTGTTTTTCTATCTGGTGTTGACCAGAAGAGGATGGGTTCCCCTCAAAGTTTATTCCTCTTGCTCTTAGGGAGTTTTTCCTTGCCATTGATAACATCACTCATGGGGGCTTGGACCCAGATTTTTCTGTAAAGCTGCTTTGTGACAGCGCATGTTGTAAAAAGCGCTATATAAATAAACTTTGACTTGACTTAACTTGACTGTTGTTTTTTTTGGCTTTGTCCCTGGCACTCAGAAATTTCTCTGGATTCTCTGAATTTTTTAATGAGACTATCTACCATATATGATAAAATCACCAAGTTCTTCGTTTACATTGAGAAACGTGATGCTTCTATTACTGCACTTTTTGCCCATGCAGATGTTCAGAGTGGTGATCCCCTCCCCAACTATACTTCTGAAGGACTCAGTCTCTCTGGGATGCTCTTTTTATAACTAATCATTTTACTGAAAGGTTGCCGATTAAACCCTTTTTAGTTGTGAGATGATCCACCAGGGTTTTAGCATTACACAACTTTACCAGTTTTTTGTTGCCCCTGTCTCAGCTTTTTGAAATGTGTTGCTGCCATAAAATGTAAAATTGGGATATATTTCTCAAAAAAACATAACATTTTTCCATTTCAGCATTTGATATATTGTGTTTGTACTATTTTCAGTTAAATAAAGGGTTTAAATGATTTGCATATCATTGGATTATGTTTTCATTTACATAGTAGTAGAATCTGTTTGAGCAAACATTCTTTTCACATGTTTTCATGAATTAAATTATGGTGTTAGCTTGACTTTTTTGATGACAGGTACTGGACAGGTTCTAGGTGTGTTGGTGTTGAATGAGTTCATGTCTGATGATTCTCTCCTCTTCTGTCTTACAGCATCTGAACAACATCCAGCTGATCTGCTCTCACACACAGAGGGCTATGAGGAGAGAATGAAGTCTTAGTACAAACACACACTCAGTATGTGGTTCTACATGGTGCTCAGTCCATTGTTCTTAGAACACCAGTAGCTTCTTTGTTTGATGTGTCCGTCTCCTTTTCTCAGTGAGGTTCTTCTTGACAGCTACACATCCTTTCAGACCCACAGCGCTGAGTCGTCTTCTCACAGTGGAAGGATGGACAGAAACACCTGTGGATGTTTTCAGATCTGATCAGCTTGATTTTCTCCTCTCTCTCAGAGATGAAAGCTTTAAGTGCTGCTTATCTGATGGGGGCAGTTTTGGGGTCGACCAGCTCTTCCAGGTGGTTGTTAGGAGTCCAGTTTTCTCTGTAGCTTTTTACTCATTTTATGAACTCCAGTTTTGAAAACTTTTGTTTTTTTTTCACTTATTTTCCTTAGGCTTTCACTTTTTTCTGCTTGTGGGTTATCTTGTATCTAGTCTCCTCACAAATATCCCCTGAAAAAAATTAATAATTTCTACTAAATGGCCATTTTGACTGGAAATGAAATAAATCAGAAAAGATCCTTAGACATTATTACAGTTCATTAATTTTTTTTAGTAAGGATATTTTGGCTTTAAAACTACAAATGAAGCATTGATGTAGTCTGTCATTTAAAAATATTTGGTGTATTTGGTAACATTTAACAATAATTACAGTATATAAAACCTCTAATATCTATTCATAATGAAATGATCACAAAAGTATCAGTTATTTAGAGTATTCATCTTTAATTAACATTCACATTTCACATGTTGTTAATTCATAATGAAGTAATGAGCTTCTACATTATAATTAACAAATCATGCACTAACGAATTTAATTATTTTCAGTTTAGAAAGTAACATTTACTGAAGTTAATATCTACTTTTTTATTACATGTATTATGTAATAAAATATATTACATATACAATATTATGTTAATATTTACAATAAAAAAGAAATAGTAATGATTTTTTCAATGTTAACCAGCAACAGTGATTTTCTTGGTCATATTTTACAAATGATTTATATAATCTTGAACCTGTAATGTAATGTATATATATATATATATATATATATATATATATATATATATATATATATATATATAATCAATAATTTCATTTACAAACTTCTTAATGCTAGAACAGCATTAGTCCCTAAAATTCTCAATAAATGCTCTCATAAACTATAATAGATACACAACCTCAATTAACATTACCTTAAACTGGAATAAGGGATATTAGTTTATAAACAACCTCAATATACGCTATATTAGGATATTTTAGCCCATAAACAACCTCAGTAGTAAGAGATATTAATTAATTAATTAAGAACTTCAATATACATTAGGAGATATTAGTCCATAAACAACCCAATTAAAAACTTCTGTAGACTAGAGTAGGACATATTAGTCCATAAACAACATGAATAAACACCACTACACTATAGAATGGGGGATTTCAGACCATAAACAAACTAAATTTAAACTAGAATATGCTATTTTAGTCAATAAACAACCTCAATAAACACTTCTATAAGATGGAGCCATTACGAGTCCTCTGCACACACTTTTAGATGTATTTAGAGAGACATTCAGTGGAAAAAAGCAACCAGAAAAATATCTAAAAACAAAAACAGTGTGACTATAGCTCAAGCTGATGAAAAGCATGGTGGGTAATGTTGGAGGCTTTATAAGAGTAACATTATTCTTTTCTTTAGTAGATATAGTGAGGCTGTAAATGCTTTTTGCACTTAAATGGCAAGTATGCCTGGCAGTCGTACTCGGTACAGTTGCAAGTGGTTGCCCGGCATCACGACTGGACTTCTATTTTTGGTAGCATGATATCTACAAAATACAGAAAAATGAGTGTGCTGTGCAGTGCAAACAATAGGGAAAAGGGAGTAAGTCATCTGAAAGACTTAATTTTTGCCCATGCTTCACATGCTTGACATATAGACTGATAGAATAAATTAGCATTGTCAACACCCTGATCAGCTATCGCTTTCTCCTTGTCAGATTATTAATTAAAATTAAAAATAGAAAGTTTCTATAATATCACCCATTAGTGTATCATTAATCTCATTGTGTATATGTGTGTTCATGTGTGTATTAGTCTGCCTAACTGTAATCTCACAGAGATTGTAAACTAGAGAAACTGGAGTAAGAACACTATCACTGTGTGTGCAGAGATCACTCACTCAGTCACACACATATACACTTTTCTAGGTCTGCAAGGCATAATAACTCAGCAACACAGACAACACACACAGAGAGAGAGAGAGAGAGAGAGAGAGAGAGAGAGAGAGAGAGTAATGGAAGGAAAAGTTATTGTAGAGGATTATGGAATAGGTAAGACTGTCATTATTTACAATTAATTTACAATGACAGATTTACCTACTGAGAGCAAAATAAAAAAACATTGGATTTTAACAGAGTAGTGCAAACATGTGCTTTAAGGCTTTTCATTGTACATGTTCCTCTACCCAGAAAAGAGAGATTATTCAGAGAATATTCAGAAATATTTGTTTCTGCATTTTGCCTAAACTAAGCAACGTTGTCTAAAATGATGAACATACAGGAGGCCTTTGATGAAGGCAGGACAAGGATGTGTAATAAGTATGTGTGTTATCATGTAAACAAAATTCATGTAATAGCAGACTTACCTATTGAGACTTCGAAAAATGTGTATAATCAGGAAAAATATTTATCATTTATTTAGTATGTAAACCTACCAAGGAGACAAGAACAGATTTCAGGCTGTGATCTTCTCACTGTTTGACCTATTCTATAACTGTATTATAGTATTGATAGTACAGCACATACATATAGCACTGAAGAAGGCTCAAACATCTCACACTGAAACCAGTATTTTGTGTTTTTTGCAGTGATTGTTTAAGTAAGTGATTGAAAGAATTTTCTAACCTAATTTTATGTTGTATTGTATATTGAATGTATATTGAATGAAAAAAAATGCTATAGGAATCAGGAAAAATGTTTTTCAGATTTGTTTTCTACACAGATGTAAAATATGTTTTTTGTTTTGGTCTGGAACAAGAGAGTGTGTTTCTGTGTGTGTGTGTGTTAATCTGTAAGTGTGAGGAGTTTTTCCTAATCTCTCAGGTTGTCTAACTGCAGGATTACAAATGAAGGCTTTTCTGCTCTGGCTTTAGCTCTAAAATCAAACCCCTTCTCTCACCTGAAAGGACTGAACCTGGAAAAAATGAACAAGGAGAGTCAGGAGTGAAGCTGCTCTCTGACTTACTGAAGAAACTACAGTAAGTTACTAATATACTGTCTCTACACACACAAAATCACACACAATCACACACATACACATAAACAAACACACACAGAAGCAGTGTGCTGTATGTGAAAAATGATGGTGTCTGCGAGCAAATAAACTTTTTTAGTTTAGATTGTTTTCATGGTGTTCAGTGAAAAAAAACCAAGAATTAACATATTAGAGTCAACTACTTGAGTCATTAATATATAAGTTTTAATGTTATATTTATATACACATTTGTATGCTTTCATGAATTAAATTACAGATTTTTCATGGAAGTCCATGGCAGGACCAAACAGGTTCTAGATGTGCTGGTGCTGAATGACTCATCAGTCTGAGTTCATGTCTGATGATTCTGTCTTTTTCTCCGTCTTACAGCATCTGAACACAATCCAGGTGATCTGCTTTCACACAGAGAGGGTTATGAGGAGGAGATGAAGTCTTATTACAAACATGCACACTCAGTATGTGGTTCTACATGGTACCGTGTGTGTTTGGGTTCTTATTGGTCAAATCTGTTAATACAGCTGCAGCACAGGACTGTGTGATCTCCCCATCACTTCACCAACCATGAAACTCCTCATACTGGAGGATGACCCAACTTTGGTCATGAGAAAGTGTATATTCATGGCAACAACATGAACTCAACACTCTAAACCAGATATAACATTGTGGGTTGTTTTATCTGCACAGAGATCCTCTTGAAGAACATGAGTGATCTGAGACTAATCAGGACTGAAGCTGTCTAACTCTTTCTGTTCACTAGGTCTATGTTTTCTCACCAAATCCGATTTTTTTGTTTGACTGTTCACGTTATCTTTTAAATGTGATCTGTATGCAACATTAGTCTGAACAGATCCTAAACCAACCCGCATGCACAAAAGAACAGTGCTTTACGTGGCTCATCCAGAGGTAAACACTCATGATGGCCAGGGAATGACAGTCACTACCGGAGCTTTCAGTTTCGTCTTCGCCAGCATCACATGAGCAATTATGAAGTTCCAATGGTTGACAGCTGGACTCATCACCCAGAACGTGTTCGAGTTTGCCGTAAAAAGGGCACGTTATTCAGCCACGGGCAGTTCTTTGGTTCGCGTCCTCAGATTCTTTAAACCTTTTTTGATGCTGCAGCCTTGGTCTCCTCCGGCTGTGTTCAGCTGTTTCATCCGAAACCTCTTCAAACACGGAATGGTTGTGATAAGTCTCTTCTAATTATTTGGTACAAAAACATCAGCCTAAATGTTTATGAGTCTAAGTAGCATGAAATTATGATGAATGTTGAGTTGGACTGACGTAAAAGTCCCATGAATTCCGATCTGGCTGCTCAGACTGAGTTGCGTTGCCACAGATGAGATCGGATCGGATTTCAGTACCACATATGAAAGTGTCTTAATTCGTAATTGAATATGTCAGATTCAGTGTGTTTATCTGTTCACACTGCCACACACATGAAACATCTGTCACATATGAAGAAAAAGATCGGATCTGGGCCACTTTTACCTGCTGTGTAAACGTGGCCTAGCAGTCATCAGTATGAAGTTTTTTTTGGGTTTAATTAACATAATGCGTTAAAGTAGCTTTAAAAACTGAACCAAACATCACACATATCACTTCTAATGTAACCAAATCACTGGGTGCAGTATTACATTACATGAACCTGAGTTTGCCTAGCGAGACAATACCAAAGATTAGAAAAATTAGACTAAAAGACTGTTATCTTTTAGTGTAACTTTGTG